CACTCAATGGCAGTGAGTTTGGTATGTACATTTTCAGTCTAATGCTCACAACAACCCCTAAAGGGCCATATCATCACCCCCATTTTACAGATGAGGCAACTGAAGCTTACAAAACAAGTAAGTGGTGCTTAAAATCTGAAGACTGAATTCTGCTACCAAACCATGTTGCCTTTTCACAAAACACAGATACCAACTGAACTGTGTTAGTTCAGGGCCAAAGACAAGGACGAGACAGCGCACTTACTCCCTCAGTGAATGGAGCAAGCATCTGAGGTCCCAGTCAGAACTGGTTGGCAAGCCTACAGACATATACTTTATAACTAAATGGAGACAACACACTCTGGCTTGGTAACTGGTTAGAGGTGCTGCCAAAAGTTCCTAAAACAACAATATTTTAAACATGAAGTCCACTAGTTACAGATCTAAAAACTAAAAGGAAATTTCCCTACAAGAGCAAGAAATGCCCTAGTCCAAAACTGTCTGTTTCTTGAAGCTAGCTCAGTTGCTACCTCCTCCAGAAAGTTTCCCCAAGTCCTCTTTTCCTCCACTGAGTACCGATAGCAGGTAAACCGGACCTTGAACCTGATACTTTATCTCTCCCTCACCCACCTAGAGAATATATACTTATGTCCCCATATTGCCTCTTCTAACCTGTTGCTGTCAAGTGGATTCTAACTCTTAATGACCCTAGAGGACAGAGTAGAACTGTCTCATTGAGTTTCCAGGGGTGAAGTCTGTATGGAAGCAGACTGCCATATCTTTCTCCCATGGACCAGCTAGTGGGTTCAAACCACTGACCTTCCAGTTAACAGCTAGAAACTTAACCACTGAACCACCAGGGCTCCTTTTGCCTCCTCTATTAGGTGTGAAAATCCCTACTCCCTTCAGTGCTAAGTTATCACAGGATCTAGGACTAAGTAGATGCTTAATATAAGTTTATTGAGTGAATGGCTAAGAGTCACTTGTAAGTGGCCTGGGAAGTCTGTTCAGAAGGATAAAGCTAGTGTGGAGGTATCTGTTTGCAAATAATGACAACACCCCACCCCACCCTGGGCTCTCCAGATCACGAGTCTATGTAGGCCTTTACTTACTCGTTTGGAGACAGAGTTCTAGATGCTTTAGCTGGATCCTTTGTTACCCTGCCCTCATCCCTTCCATTCTAAGACACTAGGACAAGGGGACTTAATGCTTTCCAGGCCCCCAAAGGAAAGATTGTGTTTTGGGGATCAACAGTGGGAGATTCACTCACAACCTCTACAGAGGAAACACGACCTTTCCAAGGGTCTCACTGGACTCTCCTTTCTGCCCCTCGCACCAAACTAGCCCCTCTGCTTATGGCCAGAAGGTAAGACAAGGTGAGAGGTTGTAGAGGGCCTTCTTTTCTT